ACAGCTAGTAAGTGTCTGAGGCCAGATTTGAACTCAGGTCTTCCTGACTCCAGGCCTGGCATTCTATCCACTGCCACCTAGCTGCTCCTAAACTAGCTTTATAGCCTTAGAATAATAGAGATGTAAACTTTTACTACTAGTTGCCATTTAATAATGACATGACCCTTGGGCAAGTTATATCCCCTTTCTTTTAAAAATATATCATATTCTTCTTTTACAACATGACTAATATAGAAATATTTTTAATATGATTGTACATGTAGAGCCTATATCAAATTTCATGCCAACTTGGGAAGTGGGGAGGGGAAGGAAGGAGAAAAAATTTTGGAACTCAAAATCTTATAAAAATGAATGTTGGAAAGTATTTTTGCATGTAATTGGGAAAAATAAAATACTATTAAGTGGGGAAAAACATATGTTGATGCTTTTTTCTTTTTTAACTGTCAATGTTATTTCTTAAAGTCTCTCCCTTTCCTCAATAGGACTATATACCGTAAGAAATAAGTACAGACAAATAAAGGAAATAACACTTTGGCCAGGTCTGAAAATGCAAGCCTCGTTTCACACCTATACTTTACTGCTAGGTGTTCTTTGCTGTCAGTGTTCCCAAGTCCCTGTTGAGTACCTTCGTTTCTTCATCTGCTGAGACGCAGCTAAAACAGTCCTCAGAGGAAAAATAATATCCCTAAAAATAAATATTAACAAAAATAGAAAAAGAGGTTTAGTGAATTGTGCATTAAAAAAACTAGAAACCCACCAAGTAAAAAAAAAAAAAGAAAAATAAAAAATCATGAAATTTAGAGAAGAAATAAGCTAGAAACTAAAAACAACCCCAACTATAGAACTAATTAACAAAACTAACATCTGGTTCTTTCAAGACCAACAAAATTGACAAACCTTTAGCCAACCTGATTAAAAAGAAAAATGTAGAAAACTAAATAAATAAAATAAATGAAGCAAAATGAAATCATAGCAAAACCAAGAAAAAATAAAAAGAATGACAGAACCATTATGTACAGTTATAAACCTATGACAGAGAACTCAAAAGAAATAGAGGCTAACCCACAAAAATACAAAGAATCATCATCTTAAAAAACGACAGACATAGTAGGTACTTAAGCTAAAGGCTTAACTAGATGGTATCTAAGGTCCTTCCTAGGGTGATTTCCAAGATCCTTTGATGTTAAGATGAGACCAGTGATCTAATTGGTTTTACAACACCTTCTATTAGAGATTACAATCTCTTTTTAGCCTGTGCTATTCTTGTTTCAGTTCTTCCATAAGTTCTCCATAGAGGAGAGGTCCTTAACCTGGTGTCTGTGAACTAGCTTTTTTTAAAAAATTATTTTGATAATTATGTTTCAACATAATTGGTTTCCTTTGTAATCCTATACATTTTATTTTAAATGTTTGAAAATATAGTTCTGAGAAAGGGTCCATGGGCTTCACGTGCCTGCCAAAGGGGTCCAGGACATAAAAAGGTTTAGAGCCCCTGTCATAGAAGATTTATTTAACAGAATGGAATTCTTCCTCTGGTTCTTTCTTTTAATAGTTCATGGGTAACAGAGCTGCCCCTGGGCTGTCCATCTGTTATCCCTCTCTCTCCTTAAATAACTAGTTCATCTTTTTTTAGACATGCATGTCCTTGATGCTATCTCTAAGGTCATTTCTTATGCATACAGTATCTTTGCTGAAATATGGTAGCCTTATACCATCTTGTGCATCTTCCCATTGCCCTCTGGGTCATTCCAAATTCTCATCATTTTCAGAAGGTATTGACAGAATTCCAGTGTTTAAAACATGAGAAGATTTACTCTGGGCCTCAGACCACACCTGGAGTATTGTGTTTAGAAGGAAATTGATTTATAAGCTGAAGCATGTCCAAGGGAGGACAATGAGGATGGTGAAACATGTTCTATGAGGATCAATTTTTGGAATTCAATATGTTTAGCCTTGAGAAGAGAGACCTATGTTTGCTATCTTTAATACTTGAAATGTTCACAGTATCATAGAATTTTAGTTGGAAGTCCTATATGAATGGATCTCCTCCATAAAATGCCCAAGAATTAGAAAGAGGAGAGACAGATTTCAACAAGAAGAGGCAGATTTAAACCTATCTAGCCTTTACTTGAAGACCTCTAATGATGGAGAAGCCACTATCTTCTGAGCAAGCCATTCCACTCTTGGCAAAGTGCTTGATGGGGTCTTCAATATTAAACTTGTCACTCTCCTCACCTTGGTAGTACCTTGAACAGCCAAAACCAACTTCCTTTCCCTTGTGTGGGTAACCTCTAATTATCTTATTATCTACTTACCTTGTTTTACTGATTACCTCCTCCTCTTCAGCTCTTCTTGAGTTCAACTCCTTCTTTTGCTCTTCCTTTTACTCTTCAGGTCCTTCTCAAGTCTTTCTCCTCTTCATTAGCTCGTATGTTTCACCCTTAGCTCAAAGCCTCCTTTAGCTCTAATCCTTACCTTCTTTCAACTTCTCACTTCTCCCACTCTGCACCCTCAACTCCATTCAGTCTCTGGCCTTCTTCACAATCCCAAAGCCCACCAAATCACCCTTACAATTCTGGTTTTGTTTTGTATTTTTTTCAACTCATTCTACTCCTTCTATCCCCACTGGATTGTGAGTTCCTTGAAGATAGGGACTGTTCTTTGCCTCTTTTTGTACAGTCAATTGTATAGTGAGGCACAGTGCCTCACACATTGTAGGTGATTAATAAATGCTTATTGGTTGACTAACTGAAGTAGTCCTTGCATGGACAGACTGAGGCATCATTTTTCTGGTCCCAGTGAGCAAAACTAGGGTGGAGAGGCATAATTCAACTTCTTATAAAGAAGGACTTCTTACCAGCCCATCCAAAATGGAATGAACTGACTTATAATGCAATAAGCATTCAGAGACTGAATGGCCACCTGCCGAAAGTGCTGTAGAAAGGATTTCTGCACTGGCTAGAAGATTGGGCTAGATCAGGGGTGGGGAAACCTGCAGCCTTGAGGCTACATGTGGCCCTCTAGGTCCTCAAGTGCAGCCCTTAGACTGAATCCAAATTTCATGAAACAAATCCCCATAATAAAAGAATTTGTTCTGTAAAACTTGGACTCAGTCAAAAGGCCACATCCAAGGACCTAGAGGGCCACCTGGCCTCAAGGCTTCAGGTTCCCCACCCCTGGACAAGTTGTTTCTAAAGTCCCTTCCAGCAGGAAGTCTAGGATTCCAAGATAGAGATCAGAACACTGGAGTAGATAGACTTAGCCTTTCCAGAACACAAACACATTGAATAGGTTCTCTCTCCTCAGAAAGGGTCAGAATGCCTCCTCTTCTGTTGTCATCTAGTCCAGATGAAGCAAAGGGAAGATCCAGGGAAAAGGCGGGGGACAGCATGAGGTTGTGCACACAAGTCAGGCAGAAATGGCTAGGACTCTCTCAAGATCTGGAGACTGACCTAATTCTTTCCTTTGCTTCAGAGCTAAAGCTCATTTGTCTTCCTCTAGTTGGTGGAATGTAAAGAAACAGCCTCTCAGGCAGATATTAGTTACTTGGCAATATCCTGTGAAAGAAGAGGGTGGACTAATGACGTGAACCCACTAACAGAGGTTTAGGACAAGTCAGTTCTGAGTCCAAGTTTTACAGAACAAATTCTTTTATTATGGGGATTTGTTCCATGAAGTTTGGATTCAGTCAAAGGGCTGCACTTGAGGACCTAGAGGGCCATATGTAGCCTCAAGGCTGCAGGTTCCCCACCCCTGATCTAGCCCAATCTTTTAGCCAGTGCAGAAATCCTTTCTACAGCACTTTCGGCAGGTGGCCATTCAGTCTCTGAATGCTTATTGCATTATAAGTCAGTTCATTTCATTTTGGATGGGCTGGTAAGAAGTGCTTCTTTCTAAGAAGCTGAATTATGCCTCTCCACCCTAGTTTTGCTCACTGGGACCAGAAAAATGATGCCTCAGTCTGTCCATGCAAGGACTACTTCAGTCAGTCAACCAATAAGCATTTATTAATCCCAGTCTAACTAGCCCAGCCCCTGCTAGATACTCAGGCGTGGGAAAAGTAGAAAAGATGGACACTCATCCTTCTCTCTTCATCCCATCTCCCCCAAAACAACAAAAATCAAATATTACACACAAATCCTCTTGTGACAGAGAGAACTTTTATTAACCTTCCAGCGTTAAGAGACCTCTCCCTGAAGAGGTACAGATCTTTTTGGATATTGTGGTGCGGGGGAGGGGGGCGGAAGGGGAAGGGAGACAGCCTCCTGCTGTATTCAAGCCGATTTCACCTTTCTGAGCCTCAGTGTTCTCGTCTGTTATTTATGGATAATATTTGCATAACCTACCTTATAAATTATTGTTAATAAAGAGAGGGTGTCAAAGCCTTGCTTCTATACTTGCTCAAAGACCGGCTGTTTGATGGGGAGATAGAAAGGGCTTTAAAGATCTAATCTCCACCTACTTTAAGTTATAAACTACTCTTTCTCAGATGCCCAGGTGACTGCAGGGTTGGTTCCCCCTGCTCCTCTCCACCCCACAATCTGCCCTATCCTGGATAATACAAAAGAGAGTGGGAGGGGTTGAGCTGGATAATCAGACCCAGTCCTAAACTAGAGTCACAGGAGGGGAGGAGTTGGGGATTGGGGAGACAGAGGTACTTCCGTGGATGGGCCCACAGCCAGCCTGAGGGAAGGTAAGGAAAAAGCTGCTATTTGAAAGGGGTGGGTCTGAAACTTGAAACTCGAGTTGTGTTCCCACCCATACCCCATCCACTCCCCGCCCCCCACCCCTTTGGGATGGGGGCGGGAGGTTAGTGCAGGACCTGGCCCGCCCCCGTGCCTGTCCGTCCCTTCCTCCTACACTCCCATTACTTGGGGACCGGGCCGGGCTGAGGGCGAACAGCCCGGCCGCCCGGGGCTCAGGGCAAGGGGGCGGACATGGGCTTCTTCCCACGCTGCGCGCTGCGGACCCTCCTGGGCCGCGGCCGCGTCCAGGGAAGTAGCCGCACCCTGGGCACGAAGCAGCTGCTCCTGTCTCTGCCCTACGGAGGAGTGCCTAGCTCTATTGTGCTCCGCTACAACTCTGGTGAGTGGGAAAGGGAGGCGCCGGCCGCCCACAAGAACGCGAAGGAGAGGCAGGGGTGGGGATGGACAAGCAAGGGCCCTAGCTGTCTAACGTAGGAAGCCCCTGCACCCGAGAGAAGCGAGTCTGGCCTGGGACTCCCTCCCCTTTGCCCAGGGACGTGAGCTTGACCCAACTTCCCTTCCCTCCACCCACCGCCGCCCCTCTCCCCAAGTCCCTCTATCACCCGGCATTCCAGCGAATTGAGAGGAGCTCCCGACCCAAACCCTGGCCAATCCTTTCCTTCCCTAGGCCCACCCGATCTTCCGGGATGATTGCAACACCGGCCAATGGTCTAGCCGACCAGCATCCTTCCTTGGGGCTTGCTTCACTTTCTGAACCCTGTTAGTTCGTAGGGAGAGGTCTTATGCTCTGGGTTCTTTGTTCCCTAGCCTGCACAGGCGCCCACGTGGACAGTAGGCAGTGGACAGGCTTTCACAGCCAGCCGCTGTGAAGGATTGAAACTGAGGAAGAAAATGAGTTCCTTCTCTCCAAACCCTTACCCCTTGCAGCCTACCTCTGAACTCCAAGTCACTCATAGCTTTTTCTTTCAGACCTGCTGTTTGTCCTTTGCAGCTTGGGTGATGACTCTCTCCATTTCCTCTAAGGCTGCGCCTCTGTTTCCTTGCTAGATTGGAGGTCTGCAAAGCTAGTCAGATTGTTGAGAGCTGGGTAGTAAAGCAGTAAAATCGGCAGTAGAAGGAAGCAGAGCCAGGCGACTCTGGGTACTGTGCCTAGAATCACAGTACCTCAGAAGTTGGAAAGAACCTGGAAGGATAAATGGACCCAAATAAGAATTTTCTTGACAACATATTCAATAAATTACTCAAAGTCCTCTAGAAAGGAAAAGTCTGCTACCACTTGAGGAGTCCCAGTCAGTTTTTGGATAGCTCTAATGATTAGGAATTATCCTTGTCCTTATATTAAACCTAAATATGCTTCTCTGAAAATTTCACCTGTCCTTCCTTGCTCTGCCCTTCGAGACCAAGCAGAACAAATATAATCCCCTTCCCACACTAATAATAATAATTGCTGTTGTTGTTCAATCGTTTCTGTCGGGTCTGACTCTTTATGAGCCCATTTGGGGTTTTCTTGGCAAAGAAACTAGTTTGCCATTTCCTCCTCCAACTAATAATAAGAGTAGCTAACATTGATATAGCACTTTAAGGACTGCAAAGCACTTTAACGTATGTTATTTCATTTGATTTTCACAACAAACCTGAGGTAGATACTGTTTTTATCCCCATTTTGCTGATGAGGAAACTGAAGCTGAGAGATTAAGTGACTTGTCTAGGGTCACACAGTGGAGGCAGCTGTGGCAGGTTGTGAAGTTTGGTCTTCCTAAAACCCATAACTCTATCTATTATGCCATGTAGCTGCCTTGAAGACAGATATAATATTTTCTCTTAATCTTCTCTTCTCCACATTATACAACTTCAGTTTTTTTTAACAGAGCATATGGCATGATCTCAAGATCCTTCATCATCCTAGTCACCTCACCCTTTTCTGGATGATCTCCAGTTTATCAGTGTGGCACCCAGAAGTAGACACAGTTCTCCAGATAAGTTCTGACCAGGGACGACTTCAGTAGTACTATTATCACCTTGAATCATCTTGAGTACTATGCAGCTCAATGAAGACTAAAGGCCACACGTGGGTTTTGGGTTTTTTTGTTTTTTTTTTGTTTTTGGCTGCCGTATTGAGCAAGTGATTCCTATGGAGCTTGTGGTCTATTAGAACTGCCAGATCTTCTTCAGAGCAACTGATTTCTAGCCATGCCTCTCTCACTATATTTGTCAAATTGCCAAATGTAAAGTGTAAGACTTTATATTTAATCCTTTTAAATTTTATCTTAATTTGCTTCAGCCCAACATTCTAGTTAGTTGATATCCTTGTGGATCCAAACTATCATTCAACTTGTTAGCCTGCTTTCTGTCTGTCTCTGTCTTTCTTAAAATACAAATGTTTTATTGATGCTTATTTTTCCTTAAAAAATTACTGTCACTTCCCAATGACTACTCTCCCCTCCCCACCATGTAAATTCTCCTTTATAACAAAGAAGTACAGCAAAACAAATCAACATGTTGGTCCTGTCGGACAACACACACTTCATTCTGCCTCTGTAGTCTACCACTTCTCTCCCTGGAAACATGAAGCATGTTTTATTGTCAGTTCTCTGAAGTTACAACTGGTCCTTGTAGTGATCTGAATTCTGATGCTTATTGATTGAGTAACTGGTCTTTTTCAATGTTGTTTACACTGCATGTCCTTTACATTAATTTTGAAATAGTTCTCTTGGTTCTGCTTACTTCAATCTGTATCAGTTCATATAAGTCTTCCCAAGCTTCTCTAAACTCTTCATGATCATCATTTCTTATGACACAATAATAATAACGATAATAATGTTACATTAAAAACTCACAATTTGTTTAGCCATTCCCCAATAAAGGGGCATTTGTTTTTTAGTTCTTTCTTTAAACTTCTTGTCATTTTCTCATTTTATAAGCTTTCTATCTATGCCTTTACCCAAGTCACTGAAAAAAATTTTAAAGAGCACAGGGCCAAGGACAGATTCCTGGGACACTCATTTTTTCTAACCCTGGGAAGTAGATACTATAATTATCATTTTACTGGTGGGGGAACTGAGGCAGACAGAACTTAAGTGACTTGCCCAGGGTCACCCAACCGGGAAATACTAGGCAGTATTTGAATCCAGGTTTTCCTGACTCCAGGTCCAGCTTTCATCCACGGTGCCTCCTAGTTTCCTCTAAATATAATCTAAGGATTACAAAGGGAAGAGACCTTAGAAATCATCTAGTTCTACTCCTTTATTTTAACAGATGCAAAAACTGAGGTATACAGAGGGGAGATGACTTGCTTAAACTCAAATGGATAGTAAAAAGTAGACCTGGGAATTAAATGCAGGTTTTCTGATCCTAAGTCTAATATTCTTTCTGGCTCATCATCTGCAGAGGATACCTTTCTACTTTATCCTGCAGGTTGGGTGAATCAGACATCTGTGTTTCCCTACTTCCCTGTCTACAAAATGAAGGCTGCATCATTTGCTATTGTTTTTGTTTGTCCTTCACTCTCTAAGAGGACCATGGCATAAGGAAGGGGATGCCATGAGTTGCGAGTGAATTGGATTTAACCAAGGGAGGGCTGTGCAAAGTCACCAGTCTCATTTTCTCCTCCAGAGCCATCTGGGTCCAGTGTCAAGATATAGATCAGGACGACTGGAGACGTCCCCCCATCATTTGCTAAGAAATTGAGCTGCAGAAGGGCTACATTATCAAGGCTGTTGCTTTGAGGATTACCATGTGGTGTTCTGTTTTGTATCAGGAGTGGCAGAAGTCTCCATAACCTGACAGATGTTTTGCTTATTTGGAGTTCTCAAGGCTTCCAGCTTACTGAAAATGTGCTAGATTCTTTATCTACCTTCTTTAAATTGAATTGAATTGAATTCAATATTTCCAACTTCCTTTTCCTTGGATCAAGCCACAAAAAGGCATTGGCTCTGAGATCCAGGGAATGCTGGCCTGAAGTCATTGATGTCAGTTTTGGTCTAAGAAAGGACAGGTTGAGGCTGGGCAGGTTTGGGGGAATAGAAAACTGCCATTGTGAAGGGGCTGAATTTTATAACCTTCTATGTATGTCCTGTCCCTTATGTTAACTCAACTGCCTTTTCAAGACCAAGAGATAGGAGAATGGACTCATAGAGCTAGGAGGTACCTCAGAGACCATCTAGTGCAATCCTCACTTTATAGATGAGGAAACAAGCCCAGAGAAGTTAATTGTTATGCCTAAGATTACAGGATTGGAACTCATGTCCTCTGACCCCAAATTCAGTACTTTTCTACACGCTGCTTCCCAATTCTGGGACTCTAGGGAATTTGGAAATTGGGGAAGCTTGTTTTCATACAAATCATAGCATAAGCACTACAAGAGATCCTGGCAATTATATAATCCAACTCCTGCTTTTTACATATGAGGAAACTGAGGCTCTAAGAGAGAAAGTGACTTGTCTAGGCTCACACAGAAGTTAGTGCCAGGACTAGAACTCAAGTCTTCAAATTTATAGTACTGCTCATCTAAGGGTTAGGAAAGTAGAATTTCAGTACCAGCTTAGTCATTAAGTAGCTAGCCACAGCGCATATGATCTTTGAAACATTTCTTAACCTTTATGCCTCAGTTTTCTCATCTGTAAACTAGAGGAGGAGTAAAGATCCCAGTTCTGCCTCCTTCTCAGTGTTGTTGTTATGAGGATCAAATGAGATAATGTATGAAAAACCTTCTTGAAAAGTTAAAAATTATATGCAAATGCAAAGATATTATTTCCCAAAGCCATAAGCAAAAACTGGGTCAAACCCCACACATTCTGACATGGTGCCCAGCTTCCAGCCCTTTGACCCACAAAGAAAGCTTTGCGCCCTTACTCTTGCGGTTGACCATGACAGGTTAGTTTTGGGTTGGGCACATTGTAAGGGGTTGTTAGAAGAGCTATTTGGACCCATATGCAGAATGGGACATTATACTTGTAGAATGGGTCTGATCTTTTTCTCTTAATTGAATACTCAAATGGATCTGTTATCCCTTCAATTCACATATTCTGTCTAAGCTTGTAGATTGAAATCCACCCATGTTTGCCCTTTTTATGTAACTCTTTCATTTCCTTCCATAAATCCTGGTGCAATCTCTTCTTCTTTTTCTTACCATCTTTATCAGCATCTCTCAATCTTGTCATGGGACCAGCCCATATATTTCTTTGATGATAGCTTTCACCCCAGTTTGATGACATCTTTCATAATTTCTTCTTTACAATGTCCATTGCTACCTGGGAGATTCTCATTTTCAATCCTTTGTAGACTATGCAGGCTTATTAAAGAGATAAGGTTTTGTTTCAGAAAGAAGGTTGGGGTCCTTAAAAGACCTCTGCTTTTCCTAAAAACAACATAGCTCACTTCTCTCCTCCTGTTCAATTCTGGGTCTTTTCCTCCTAGCCTTTTTTTTTTTTTTAAATTCTTTCCAAACCTCTTATCTCCTCAGGCTGCTTGCTGACAATCTTCCTGTAGTTCTTGTCATACAGGGCGAGGCTTTAGGAGAATGTCGTATGATTAGGTCCAGTCTGCCCCTTTTCATCTCTGTTCAATTTATCTTCAAGTCATTGTTGTGGGGGACTAGGGGGTGCACATGATGACTGGGTCTAAGCCAGCCTGGTTGGCAGTAGCAGAAGGGCAGTTGATTTAAGCCTATTTCCCTCAGTACTTCTTTGTGGTTTTGAGGATAAACTGTTAAATCCTATATGCTGAGAGCTTCTTCTTGGTTTCCAGCCATTGCTATATCTCACACTTAGCAGTTCAGCTTAGTTTAATGGAAAGAACAATATCTTTAAAGTCAAGAAACCTGGCCCCATCAATTACTAGTTTTGTGACTTTGGACATATCACTTCAAACTTATCAATTTCTTCATATAAAATAGGGATAATACTACCTGACCTTAGAGAGGTATCATAAAGCTGGAAGGAAAGAGTGAAAGCTTGCGTGTATATAGTACATGCCTTACAATAACCTGGCCAGGCAGGTAATCTAAGTGCTATTATTCTCATTTTACAAATAAGGAAATTGAAGCTCAGAGATGTAGTAATAGTAGCTAACATGTATATAGCACTTTAAGATTTGCAAAGCGCTTTACATATAAAATCATTTGATCCTTAAAATTATCCTATGAGGTAAGTGCTATTATTATCCCCATTTTATAGATGAGGAAACGGAGGCTTAGAGAATTAGTAATAATAATGTTGTTGTTCAGTTGTGTCCAACTCTGCCTGACCCCATTTGGAGTTTTCTTAGCAAAGATATTCGAATGGTTTGCCATTTCCTTCTCCAGCTCATTTTACAAATGAGGCAAACAGGGTTAAGTGACCTGTCCAGGGTCACACAGCTAGTAAGTATCTGAGGCCAGATTTGAATGCAGGAAGATAAGTCTTCCCAACTTCAGGCCCTGTACTCTACCCACCGTGCCACCTAGCTGCCCCAATAATAATCATAGCTAACGTGCATATAGCGCTTTAAGGTTTGCTAAGTACTTTAACTATAAACTCATTTGATCCTTGCAACCATCCGGTGAAGTAAGTGCTATTATTATTCCTATTTTACAGATTAGGAAACAGGAAACAGAGTGGTTAAATGACTTTTTTTTTTACTAGCACCCAAATTTTATTTTATTAATTTATTTTGATTTATCAACAATCACTTCCATAAGCTTTTGAGTTTTAAATTTTTCTTCCCCTCCCCAAGACAGCGCACAATCTGATATAGGGTTAAATGACTTTTTCAGCATCACACAGCTAGTAGAGATTTGAATTGATGTCTTCCTGACTCTAGGCCCAGTGCCTTATTCACTTCACCACCTAGCTACTTCACCTGGAGTGATTTACCTTGTCAAGATGAAACACAAATACGTGCAGATAAGTAAGAATTGGGTAGATAGGATGATGCCACAGAACATTATAAGCCTTAAAGAAGATGATCATTGTGTTTCCAGATACAAAAAAAAAAAAAAAAACCACTAGTTGGTAAGCTAGTTTCTTCAGCAAAGAGCTAATGAAAATGGGGGATGGGGATGATGATCTGGGTTGGGCTGGGTTATATAATTCTGCTTACCTTCACCTGAGCTTGGACCCAGGAAGATAAGACTGAAACATGGTAAATGAGGAATCATCACCTTAAAGGAAATATTCTTTGCTCCTGCTTCAGTAGCTATAACACTTTCTAAAAAGATTTGCCCTAATTAAGGAACTACATTTCTATATTGGTATTAAAATAATGTTATAGAAGAAAAAGATTTGTTCTACGGTTTGACATAAAGTTAAAGGATGAAAGTAGAGGTCAAATGGATATCGGTCAAAATGGGAGTATTTGGGCTAAGTCACTGAGTAATCACTATGGTTTATTTACTGCTACTGAAGGGACAGTCTTATCTCTTGGGGAAAGAGCAGTCAGGGGCCAAGGAAGAACTCCCATGTTGGTGAGGTGTCCTCATGCTGACATCCTCCATTCTATTCCTATTTTGAGAATGGATGTCAGGACTAGGTAGTACAATGGATAGAGCACTGGGCTTGGAATCAGGAAGACTCATTCATCTTTATGAGTTCAAATCTGGCCTCACATACTTACTAGCTGTGTGACTGTGGACAAACAAGTCACTTAACCCTATTTGCCTCAGTTTCCTCATCCATAAAATAAGCTGGAGAAGAAAATGGCAAACCACTCCAGTATCTCTGACAGTAAAACCCTAAAATGAGGTCATGAAGAGTCAGACAACACTAAGAAGTTAGGACTAAGGGCAGCTAGGTGGCACAGTGGTTAGAGTACTGGCCCTAGAGTCAGGAGGACCTGAGTTCAAATCTGGATTCAGACACTTGATACTAGCTGTATGACCCTGAGCAAGTCACTTAACCAAGATTGCCTTGCCAAAAAAGAAGAAGAAATCAGGACTAGAACTTTTTCAGGTGGGCTCTGGATGCCTTCCCTGGTGTCTCGAATAACATTTGCTTCAATCTGTTGAGGTCTGAGAGATTCAGAGACCCCTCAAAGACAAGAGTACAGGACAGGGTCGTCTAGAATGAATTCACAGACTCAAGCATTCTTTAAGTCAAGGTGACAAAGATTTATTGCTACACTATATAGCAGGCAAGAATTCTCAAGGAACTTGCCATGGTGGGCAGAACTACTTAGGGAACTTGCAACCTAACAGAAATGGTGCTAACGCTTATATAGGAAAAGTAGTAGATTGTGTGCCAAGTATGCTAATTAGGCAATAACATACAACTCTGTCATTCACTGTTGGAAGCCTCTGGGAGGGGGGAGGAGAGGGTTCCTCAAGGGTATATTTTTGGTCTGTTATGTCTATAACTGTCTTCTTTGGGAGTTGACGTCTGTAGCTTGACCTCTGGATTGTATACGGTAACTGAGGGCATCAGTATTTGATAGTTCTGCTGGTACAAGATAATCCTATTCATACAAGAAAAATTCTACAGAGGTCAGCTTGTTCCTGTAACAAGGAGAGATAGTTTGCCTCACTGGGCTCACTCATGAGTTATTGCCAGAGATAGGGTCCTTGGGCTGGAGGGGAACTGTCAGGGATAGTGCCTTAAGGCTAGGGAGAAATGTGATCTTGAAAGTGGGGTCCGAGTACAAGCACCCAAGCACCCCATGAGATCCTGCTGCTAAGTCCCCAAGAAGTTACCAACTCCTGTAGCTTAGGATGGGGTAGGTTGTAGGGTAAGGTCCACAGGATTAGAGCTAGAAAAGACGTGAGCCATCAGGCCAAGAGGAAGCATCGTACTGTGGAAAGGGCAGTGGTCAGAGTGGAGTTTGAGTTCCAGCTCCTCCACTTATTTGCTTAGGACTATGGGTGAGTCATTTAATTTCTCTGAGCCTTGATGTCATCATTTATAAAATAGAGATAATAATATTTGCCCCACCTTCATGAAGACATTATTATGGGGTCAATGCTTTTTAAGCTATAAAGTGCTATAGAAACATGATAATATTACTATCTTAAAAATTATTGATATATTTTGTTTTTATATCACCTTTGTTTCAAGATACTATTGATCTTTTCCTCCATCCCTACCTAGAAAGTCATTCCTTATAACAAAGGATAAAAAAGAAAGAGAAAAAAAAAACAGTGTTTAGTGAAACTCATCCAAACATTTGTGGAAGTTTTGCTCCTCTAGGTTCCCACCTCTGCCAAGGATAAGAAAGAAGGGGCATTTTTTTTTCATTCCTTCTTCAGGGCCAAGCTGGGTCAGTAAACAAGCATTTCTTAAGCACCTGCTACGAGCTAGGCACTGTGCTAAATGCTGGGAGTACAAAGAAAGGCTAATAATCATCCTTGCTTTCAGGGAGCTCACAGTCTAATGGGGGAGACAATTGTGCAAACAAGCTTTATATAGGATAAATTGGAGATTATCTCAGAGGAAGATGCTGAGATGAAGGAGAATTGTGAAAAGTTTCTTGCAGATGTGACTTTAACTGAGATTTGAAGGAAGCTAGGGGAGCCAGGAGGTGGAGATGAGGAGGGAGAAAGTTACAGGTATGGGGGGGGATGGCAAATAATAATGCTAAGAGTCAAGAGATGGAATGTCCTGAGTAAGGAGAGTGGAAAGAGTGTGGAGGGTGTGGGGCAGCAGGCTATGAAGGGCTTTAAAAGTGAAACAGAAGCTTTTGTATTTGATCCCAGCAGTAATAGGAAGCTGCTGGAGTTAATTAAATGTGGGTGGGATGGAGGAACAAGATCTGACTCCCATAGGCTTAAGGAGGATCAATTTAACAGCTTAGTGGCAGATGGACTGGAGTGGAGAGAGGCTTGAGGCAGGGGGATCAACCTGCCTGTTGCAAGAGTCCGGGCATGAGGTGATGAAGGACTGCACCAGAGCGGTGGCGGTATTAGACGGAGGAAGGGGCTATATAAGAGAAGTGTTATGAAGGGAGTAACAGTAGTATTTGGCAACTGATTGGATATGGGAAGGGGGGTCAGAGAGAATGAAAAATTGAGGATGATGCCTAGGATGTATCTTGTATGACTGGGAGCACAGTGGTAATTTTGAAAGTGGTAGGAAAGTCAGAAAAAGAGGAAGATTTGTGGGGGGAAAAGAGGAGTCCAGTTTTGGACATGTAACATGTTCATGAGATATCCAAACTGAAATATCCAATAAGCAGCTGGAGATGAGAGACCGGAGGTCCAGAAGAGAGATTAGGATTGGACAAATAGAACTGGGAATCATTTGCACAGAGATGACAATTGAATTCACAGGAGCTGATGAGATCACCAAGTGAAATAGCATAGAAGAAGAAGAAGAGAAGAGAACCCAGGACAAAAGCTTTGTGGGACATCCAAGATTAGTGGGCATGACCTGGATGAGGATCCAGCAAAGGAGACCGAGAAGCAGCAGACAGACAGGTAGGAGGAGAACCAGGAGAAGAGCAGTATTGCAAAACCTAGAGAGAAGAGGGTGATCAATAGTGGCAAAGGCTGTAGAGAGGTAAAAAAGGAGGGATATTGAGAAAAGGCCATCAGATTTGGCAATTAAGAAATCACTGGTAACTTTAGAGAGAGTAGTTTCAGTTGAACGATGAGGTGGGAAGCCAGGCTGCAGAGAGTTAAGAAGGGAGTGAGAGGCATGGAGGTGGAGATGCCTATTGTAGAGGGCCTTTTCAAGGAGTTTAGCCACAAAAAGGTAGACAGATTTAGAACAATAGCTAATGGGGAAAGATGGATCAAGTGAGAGTTTTTTGAGGATGGGGAGACACGCGCATGTTTGCAGGTACCTTTTCATTTCTTCTTCAGGGCTGAGCTTGGTCATTATGTTTATACAATGTTCAATATTTTTTTCTTGTTATTGCAATTTACATTGTTATAGATATCGTGTAAACTATTTTCCTAGTTCTACTTTACTTAATTTTTCATCATTTCATTTAACTCCCATGCTTCTCTGAATTTGTTATATTTCTTATTTTTTATAATTTGGTAAGTTTTCATTACTTCATGTCTCATAATTTGTTTAGACATTCCTCAAGCAATGGCTATTTGTTTCCAGTTCTATAAAAAGTGCTGCTGTAAATATTTTGGTAGGAATTGGCCCTTTCTTTCAAACATTGACCTCTTGGTGTATATGCCTAGCTGTGGGGTCTCTGGGTCAAAAAGTATGGATATTGAAATGTGACACTATTATCATTAGTTCCCAGCATTTGCTGCCAAGCTAACTATAGTCAGAATTCCTTGAATCTATGACTATTTTTCAAAGTAAGTACATGTGGAAAAGACTACATGCCATTCTCCCCTGTGTACTCTGTGTCCCTCTCTCCTCCCTTCCTTTCCTTCTCTCTCTCTCTCTGTGTATCTGTCTCTCTCCTCTCTCTCCCTCCCTCTCCCCTCCTTCCCTCCTTCCCTCCTTCCCTCCTCCCCTCCTCCCTCTTCCATCTTTCCCCCCTCCCTCTCTTTCTCTTCTCTTCTCTCTCTGTCTCTCCTCTCTCACTGTTACTCTCTCCTTTCTCTGTTTCTCTGTCTCTCCTCTCTCTCCCTTCCTCCTTCTCTCTCCTTTCCTTCTCTTTTCCTCCCTCTCCTTCTCTCCCTGTCCTCCCTCCCTCTCCTCTGCCTGTCTGTCTCTCTCTGTCTCTGTTTCTCTATCTCTCTGCCTGTCTCTCTCTCCTTCCCTCCTTTCCTCTCTCTCTCCCATCCTTCTCTCCCCTCCCCCTCTCCATACTCCCTTTGCCTTGTGCCTTATTGCCTAGTTTTGAAATGAACTACCCTTTGGGGATAACCTAATTGACTTTCCCCAACCCCCAACCTGGGTCTCTGCCATTCCTTAATTTCAGAAATACTGATTCATGAAACAAAGTGATGAGGAAACTGAAGGATACCCTCTGCCTCCTTCAGTGTGCTGGGTGATGGTACCTTTCGCCCAGTCTTTGGATGCAGGACACAATATAATGAGAGGAGGCAGAATCCTGGCTTTTCCCTTCTCTGGGGAGCTGTGCTATCTCTGCTTATACCTCCAGGCCTCCCCATGGATGTGTTCCTAATTAGCCTTCCTCCTTCTCAGAAAGGCTGTCCTAGTAACTGGGCAGACTGCGTCACTGAACGTTATTTTTAGGACTGCTCGGTTGCTCTGGAAAAGCTGTTGTTTTGTGGCTGTGCCTTTTGCCCAGCTGGGAGCCCTAGGCTAGCATACAATCAGTCAATGAATCAATAAACATTTATTAAGCACCTACTATGTGCCAGACATTGGCTAAACATGCCTATTGCTGCTGTAGGTGGAAGGACCTGACCTCTAGGTGCTCTTCTTCCAGGTATCCAGAGCAGTCCCTAGGTTGGAGTCTCCTCAAAATGACAGTGAGATGAGAGAGATCCTTAAGCATTTCAGTAGACTTTAGGCATTGCTTCTTCTCCCTTGAAATGCACCCATCTAGGGTGGAGAAGGAAAAAGAGGATTCCTTTGTCAGAAAAACTGAGACCAAATGTGACCCAACATATGGGGCATTCAGGAAGATGAGCACCTCTGGTGTGCGGGCTTCTGGCTTCAGGGCTTCTCATCCACCTTTGGGGTCCACCGGATTCACCCAACTCCCACCTGTGGCTCCAAGTAGCTGTAGCATGTACAGTGACCACACCCCGGTAAATATCTTGGCAGACAGGTTAAACCAGGTTGAGGGTATCCGATAGGCCTCAAACTTGTTGATGGTTAAGGGGACATACCCCAAGCATGTGAAGACTTTCCTGGTAGAATGGGCAGATGAGAACAATTTGTTCTAATGGCATCGAAGGCAGCTGAAGCAGGTGTGTGGAACATTTAGAGTTTGGTCAGACATTAAAGATGCCAAGGTCATCTACTGCATCCCAGGCCATTGCCTTTTGTCTCTTGACTTTTGTCCTGCCACTGGACTTAGATGACTCTAAGAGAGAGAGTGAGACTGATGACTTTTTTTTTTGCTGGAGGCAATGAGGTTAAGTGACTTACCTAGGGTCACAAAGCTAGTAAGTGAGGCTGGGTTTGAACTCGGGTCCTCCTGACTCCAGGGCCTATGCCCTATCCACTGCACCACCTAGCTGCCCTAAAGCTAACGATTTTGTGCAACTCTGGCTCACTTAAATCCAATTCACATACAAGTCAAGACATCCTCTGTGATGTCATTGGTTCTCTTTGAAATCTCCGAGTAGGGAGGAAATTCAAATTCCATCTCATCTAAGCCATACCTGAATACTTGAATAGAAATTTCCTTTACAATGTCCCGAATATGTTGTTCATCCTCTGCTTGAAAACCTTCAACAATATAGAACCCCAGGCCTTCTGGCACAGCTCCTTTTCGCTTTTGGACATCCCTCACTGTTAGGGGAGACCTTCTTTATGCTAACTTGACGTTAATTTCTCTGTGACTTCCACCTGTGGTTTCTAGTTCTTTCCTCTGAAGTCGAGCAGAACATGTCTAATCTCTTTTCCATATGATGCCCCTTCGAATACTTCAAAGAAAGTAATCACATCCCTGCCACCCTCCACCATTCCCTTTCCTTCCATGTCTTCTCTAGAGTAAACACCCCCAATTGCTTCAGTGATTTTTAAATGAGATGGTTTTCAGTTCTCACACTATCCTCTTTGGGGCACGCTCAAATTGAACTCTCTAGATGTAAAGTAGAGTACAGTGGGATTATTTGACACCGTGCCTCTATCAATGCAACCGAAGGCAGCATTAGCTCTTTTGACTGCCTTGTCACATTGCTGACTAACATCAAATGTGTCTACTACAATCTCTAGATCTTATTCACACCTAATATTATCCAGTCATGTATCTCTCGTCTTGTACTTGTGCAGTTGAGTTTGTTGAGCCCAAGTGTAGAACTTTACATTTCTACTCATTGAATGTGATCTTATTAGACTCCAGTAGGCCCAAGAGGCCAGTCCTGGTGATGACCTTCTGTTTCCCTTTCCTATAGGGGGACTTACTAGAACCCAGGAACGAACACTGATTGCAGTAAAACCAGATGGTGTTCAGAGGAGGCTGGTTGGAGATGTCATCAGGCGCTTTGAAAGACGAGGGTTCAAATTGGTGGGCATGAAGCTGCTACAGGTAACAGTGCCTACTATGGATGGGTCTTCCAATCTCCCTGTGGGGGATTTGTTCCTTGCTTAGAGGTAGAAGGTACTGACCAGAGCCAGGCTGTCCTGCATGATGCCCCAGCCAAGCTAAACTAGACTACCCAGCTTAGCCTGCTATCTTCAGAGACTCTAGGTCAAAAAAGACTTGGCTTTAGTCACTATTTCAGTACTCCATCCTCATTGGTTCCATGGAGATCCATCATTTCTGGTCCAAGCAGTCAGGTCTGTGTTGTATGTGTGGAAGAAATATCATGGAGACTCTCTAACTTGACCCCTTTGCTTCTTTTGTGTATGTCTACAAGGGCCAATGGCATTTAGTTTTCCAACAGCAGCCATGTTTTGTATTTGTAGTTCTTGTTTCCCTCATTGGCAGAACAGATGTGTTCTGGGAAATGTGGTGCCCTGGGGTTAGAAAGAGATGGGTTGCTAGCATGGGAATCTCCTGGCTTTTTGGAACTGGGCAGTGCCTCTACTCAACCAGTCAACCAACCCAGCATCCATTGAGAGCTTGCTACAGGTAGCAGGATCTGAGTAGGCTAACGTTCCACAACTTCTCCTGTTGCTATCTGGCTCCAGAACTCTTACCAACTCTCTCCCTATTGCCTTCCAGGCCCCAGAGAAAGTCCTTGCTGAGCATTACCACGACCTAAAGAAGAAACCCTTTTATCCAAACTTGATCAACTATATGAGCTCCGGTCCTGTGGTTGCTATGGTAAGGCTAGACTGAGCCTGGGTTCTGCTAAGAGGGAAAGTGGGAAGGGGTGGGGCTTCCTTTGGGGTGTTGGGAGTTCAGCAAATGCTGCCCCATGCTCCTTTATTAGCTCCTGATGATGACAAAAGGGACACAATACTATGTTCTTTTGTTGGTCTCTTCCCTTTTAGAGCCTTCCTTATCTGTCCAAAGGGGATTGCCTGATGAGCAGGTAAACTGTCAGTCAGTCAGTCAAAAACACGGTAACTTAAATACTTACCATGTGGGCCAGGCATTGTGTTAAGTTCTGAGGATACAAAGAAAAAGCAAATATAGACATGATTTCTCCCCAAGATATGAAAAGTGTTCTGAGAGTCAAAGGCATTAGTGTGTGTGTGTGTGTGTGTGTGTCTGTCTGTCTGGGAAAGCCCTCCTGAAGATAAATCTTAAAGGAAGCCAGGGAAGCCAGAAAGTTGAAGTAAGGAGGGAAAACATTCCAGAGAGTGGTAGGCTGGTAAATGTTTAACAACTGGTCTCCAAGGGGAAAATGTACCCAGGACATACTTTAAAGTTGAATTTGCAACATTAACATTTTCTCTATCACTTTCCTAAGTCTAGACAATCAACAAAAGAATAAACCAAGCCCTGATTTGTAGTATTTACCAAATTTTGAGGTGTGAATGTTCACACTGAAAATATAACAACCAGCTCTTGAGAGCTATTCATCAAGCTGACTCCAGCACCCCCCTGATTCCAGGCTTGGGAGATAGCCAGTAAAAGGCACGGGACTGGGAAATGGAGTATCAGGTATGAGGAACAGTGAGTAGGTCAACGTAGCTGCATCAAAGAGTTCATGGAAGGGAATAAAATATAAGAAGCCTGAAAAGTAAAGAAGGAGCTAGGTTGTGAAGGGCTTTCAATCCCAAAGAGGATTTTATATCTGATTCTAGAAGCAGTCCGTTCTCCTGGACACCAGAGCAATTATTTCATTCATCAAACATAAACATTCATTATACCCAAAGCATTGTGCTAGTTGATGGTCAAGACGCGAGGCTCAGACACAGCAAGGTCCCTATCATCAAGGAAATCCCAGTCTAGTCTGGAGGGATAAAATAGAAACATGGATAGCTCTAACATACACTATTACATGACGAGCATATTAGAGAGGTGGAAAACAAATTCCTTCCCTAGACCAGTGCCCTTTTCTTTTTGTCTTCCCCATCTCTACCTCCTATTAGGAGTGTGGAGTTTGGTTAGTGCTTGGTAAATTGCTCCATGAAGATGTGTTCAATTCTATGAATCTATTTATCTCTCCCTTACTTGTGCTAGGTGCAGAGGGTACAAAGATGAAAAACAGCAGAGTCTCAATGCTTGCTTAGCACCGGCACTCAGTATATTGCCTGGTACATTGTATGTGCTTAATGAGCACTTGCTGATTCATTGATTGCCTTGGAGGTAGGATGTATGTACAGCCAGGTCTAGTATGAGGTAAAGGGTGATAGAGCGGAAAGGAGAGGGCTGGACAAAGTATTATAGGAGAATTTGAACAATTGATATTTTTTCCAATTGTTTAGATCTGACTTTATTTGTTTGAAAAGTGTTTTGTGGGACAGCTAGGTGGTGCAGTGGGCAGAACACCGGCCCTGGATTCAGGAAGACCTGAGTTCAAATCTGCACTTAGACACTTGACACTTACTAGCTGTGTGACCCTGGGCAAGTCACTTAACCCCATTGCCTAGACAAAAAAAAAAGTGTTTTGTAATTGTGTTCATATAGTTCCTGAGTTTGTCTTGACAAACTCCTAACCATTTTATATTGTCTATAGTTATTTTATATGGAATTTCTCTATCTCTTGCTGCTGAGCTTTGTTGGTAATAAATAGAAAGCTGATGATTTATGAGAGTTTATTTTATATCCTGCAACTTTGCCAAAGTTGTTAATTATTTAAAATAGTTTTTTAGTTGATTCTCTAGGATTGGCAGGTTCAGAGAAATCTTCACAGAGGAGGGTGACACATGAATGGAACTGTGAAGGTAGAAAAGAAGCCGAGAGAAGGAGTGCTTTTGAAATGTGGGAAATGTCCTGTACAGACCAAAGGAAATAAGAGGCAGATATTGGGGACTAGCTACTTGTCCAGTTGCCTTTCGTTGACAGGAACAGGCCGGGTCTTTTTTGTGTTGCAGGTCTGGGAAGGGTACAATGTGGTTCGTACCTCTCGGGCCATGGTAGGAGACACTGATTCGGCAGAAGCTGCCCCGGGGACAATTCGGGGAGACTTCAGCGTTCACATCAGCAGGTATTGGCAGGGAGGGCCTGGCAGACTGGGCAGCCTGAAAGGGGGGAGATGGAGAAGAGGCTGTAGGAAGGGAGCCATAGGAGAGCAATGTCACAAAAAAACCTAGAAGAGAGTATCCAGGAGAGGAGGGTGATTGATAGCGTCAAAGCTAGGTGGCCCAGTGAGTAGAGCACTGGCCTGGAGTTAGGAAGACCTGAGTTCAGATCCAGCCTTAAACACTTTCTAGTTGCATGACCCTGGACAGTCACTTAACCTCTCTTGGCCATCTGTAAAATGTGGATAATAATAGTACCTAACTCCCAGGTTGTGAGGATCAAGTGAGATCATAGTTTAAAGCATTAAATGCAGTGCCTGGTACATAGCAGGCACATAAATGCTTAGCTTCAGAGAGGTCAAGAAGAATGAAGATTGAGAAAAGGTCATTAGATTTGTCAATTCAGGGATCATTTATAACTTTGAAGAGCGTAGTTTCAGTTGAATGATTTCCTTCACAAAGAGAGTGAGAGGAAAGAAAGTGGAGATGCCTCTTATAGATGGTCTTTTCAAGCAGTTTGGCCATAAGAAGGAAGAGACAATAGGTCTATAGCTAAGAGCCAGGGGTGGGGAACCTACAGCCTGGAGGCCACATGTGGCCTTCTAGGTCCTTGGGTGCAGCCTTTTGACTGAGGACAAGTTTTACAGAACAAATCCTTTTATTGAGGGGATTTGTTCTGTGAAGTTTGGACTCAGTCTGAGGGCCGCACTTGAGGACCTAGAGGGCCACATGTGGCCTCGAGGCTGCAGGTTCCCCACCCCTGGAGACAATAGCTAATAAGGATGCATGGATCATGAGGTTTGGGATTTTTTTTTTTTTTTTTAGAATGGGGGAACACTATATAAATGTGAATTATTCAAATTACTGGCAGGAAGGAAGTATAAAAATTCTGGTGGGCTGAAGACAATACCAAAATGGAGTTTTGGTGGGAGAAAACTCGACCCTGTTCTTTGGACCATTCATTTCTCCATCTGTTTAAGCAACATAGAGCAAAAGGACGGGAGGTCTGAGGGTGGGACAGGATGGGGAGTGTGGGGGATAACGCCAGCGACCAGCCACACGGAGGCCCTCAAACCTTGGAGCTCACCCCTTGCTGCTTGTTTCTCTGGCACAGAAACGTTGTCCATGCGAGCGACTCAGTGGAAGTGGCCCAGAGAGAGATCAGCCTGTGGTTCCATAGCAGTGAGCTGGTAGACTGGGATTGTGGCAGTCACAGCAGCCTGTACCACGTGTGAGGGAGGCTCTCACTCTCAGCCCACCCCCCGCCCGCACGGACTAAGGACCCAGGAGTAACTACCTCTGCCAATGAGAATGCTATGCTCTTCCCTTCCTTCCTGTCCAAGCTACGGGCCACCCCCCATCCTAACTCCTGTCCGCCGCAGAGACCTCTCTGATGCCAAATTACGTGCCTTTTCACTCCACGCCCTGAGCCATCGCAGGACTGAGTCCAATCCTTCCCTCGACCACAGTGCCAGTTAACCTTGAGGGTGATTGCTTGTAACCAGAGATAATGATGATTATTAAAGGAGACACATTAAAATTCAATCTATAACTTGGTAATAATTCACCCTTTCTTGTTTCTATAAATGGGGATCTTCCATTAGATTTTAAGGTGGGGGGAAAGGGGAAGGGAAGAAACACTTATTAAGAGCCTACCATAGGCCAGGTACTGTGCTAAGTGCTTTACAAATATTATCTCATTTGATCCTTACAACAGCCCTTCAAGGTAGGTGTTATTATTATCACCCCCATTTTACAGATAAGGAAACTGAGGCAGACAGAGGTTAAGTGATTTGCGCAGAGTCACACAGCTATAAAGTGTATGAGGCTGGATTTAAACTCGGGTCTTCCTAACTCCAGGTCCATTGCTCTATCCATCACAACACCCAGCTGCTTCAAGGCCCAGGACTACATGGTGGGGTTCTTTATATCCCCAAAAGCAACTAACACAGTGCCCTGGGAGTGGAAAACACATGTATCAATGTTTGTTGAATGAATGAAGCTAAACCTATATCAGATCGCTTGCCATCTTGGGGAGGGGAGTAGGGGAAGGAGAAAAAAAATTGAAACTCAAAATCTTGTGGAAGTGAATGTCACAACCTAAAAATAAACAAATACTTTTAAAAGGAAATAAATGAATGAAGCCAAAGCCCTAAACATCCCCCTTCCCACTGACTGGTGGACACAGGGACCTAGCCTGGGAACCTTGGTAATTGAGGCTTGTCACAAAGCCAAGTGACTCTGATTTCTCAATCTCACTGCAGTAGAGCAGATACCAAGGAAAAAAAGCAAACCAGAGTAGTATCTGAGCTCTCTATGGCAGTTTACATGTATTCAATTCATCTGCAACAGACCTTTTAGACAGGTAGCAGAACTACTGTTTGTTCCCATTTTATAGGTGAGGGAAAAGGGTCAGGAGGATGAAATGTATTGCCCAAGAACACAGCCAGTACATGGCGGAACCAATACTCCCACCCACGTCCTCTGACTCCGAGTCTGGGTCACTTTGCGATATACCCATACACAAGAGGCAATAAGGTGGCTTAATGAATAGAGCTCTAGGGCTGGAGTCAGTTCAAATCTGGCCTCATTCACTTCCTACCTGGGTGACCCTGGGAAAGTTACTCACCCTTTTCCTATTTTCTCTATTAACCTCTATTTTCTCTTCTGTAAAATAAGGATAATAACAGCACCTATCTCCCAGCTTTGTGACAAGACAAGATAATATTTGTAAAGTGCTTTGCAAACCTTAAAATGCTATGCAATGGGTGCAATAAGGTAGCTTACACTGGTGGCCTGAATGCAGGTATACGCTCTCTAGACAGCATGAGATTTTCTTCTTTAAACACATGGCCACCTAAAAGAATTGAACCCCATTTTCTTGGCATCTCCCCCCTCCCCTCTCACTTCCTCCCTGGATTATTGCTGAGTAAAGCAGGGAGTCTGCCAAGAAGCCTCAAAGGGCATCTAATAGGTCTGCCAAGTGCTTTCCATATGTTATCTCATCTGATCCTCACAAACAACCTTCTGAGGTAGGTGCAATATTGTCCCCATTTTACAGAGCAGCAAACTGAAGTTGAAAGGGATTAAGTGACTTCGCCAGGGTCACTGGAGATTAAGTGACTTCCTTACAACTAAGGAAGAGTTGGGAGTGGGATTTGAACTCAGGTTTTCCTGACTCCTAGTCTAGTACCCTTATGTCCTGAACCTCCTAGCTCCATATAGAATGTATAGGAATCCTCTCTTTGATGTCTCCAACAAGTGGTTATTCAATGTGTTACTGAAAACCCATAGCAAGTGGGAACCTACCACCTTTGGAAGCAGTCTGTTCTACTAATTGTCAGAAAATATTATTTCCTTACATTAAGTAAAAGTCTGCCTCTCTCCAACTTCCACCCATCACTCAGAGTTCTGCCTTCTTGAACCAAGCAGAAAAGTCTTAATTCCTCATTCAATTTCTCAGCCTTTCAAATACTTGAAGACAATCATCATCTCGCGCCTTGATTTCATACAGGCTGAACATCCCCAGTTCCTTCCATTGATCCTTCTATGGCCTGTTCTTGAGGCCTTCACCATCCTGATTGCCCTTGTTTAGGCATTCTCCAACTTGTCAATATCTTCCCCAAACTGGAGTGCCCAGAAGCAAATGCAAAGTCCAGATGAGATATGCCCCAACAAGGCCAGAGAACAGTGCAAGACTATCACTTCCCTTTCCTCCTCCTGGAATTTCTTAATATAACCTATTTACATATAAAATATAGTATTCTTTTTTTTTTGCCGTCATATCATGCTTAACCTATACTGATCTTCATAAAAAAGAGGAAAGGACCTATTTGTACAAAAATACTGATAGCAACTCTTTTTGTCGTGGCAAAGAATTGGAAATTGAGGGGATGCTTCTCAGCTGCGGAATGACTGAACAAGTTGTGGTATATGAATATAATGGAATACTATGGTGCTGTAAGAAATGATGAGCAGGTGGATTTCAAAAAAACCTGGAAAGACTTGTATGAACTGATACAAAGTGAAGTGAGCAGAACTAGGAGAACATTGTACACATAACATTGTGGGATGATTAACTATTAACTATTAACTTAGCTCTTCTCAGCAATACAATGATTCAAGACAATTCCAAAAGATTCATGATAGAAAATAATGTCTACATCCAGAGAAACAACGGATGGATTCTGAATGCAAATCAAAGCATACTATATTCACTTTCTTTATTTTTTCCTGTTTTTTTTCCTTCTGTTCTCTTTCCTCTTAAACAACATGATGAATATGGAAATATGTTTTATATGGTTGCACATATATAACCTATACCATATTGCTTATTGTCTTGGGGAAGCGAGAAGGGAGGAAAAAAATTTGGAACTCAAAATTGCATATAAAAAATGAATGTTAAAAATTATCTTACATGTAATTGGAAAAAATAAAATACTATTAAAAAACTTACATTGATCTTTTGCACATATGTATATGTATTGTTTATTTTTAGCATTCTTTTTTTAAAATTTTGAGTTCCAAATTATCTTCCTCCCTCCAGTCCCTCTTCCACCCACTGAGAAGGCAAGCAATATATTATGCATGTGAAATCATGCAAAACATTTCCATATTAGCCATATTGCAAAAAAAAAAGCAAGAAAAATAAAGACAATGAGAAAAGTATATGGACTATGATGAACTCAGAGTTCATCAATTCTTTCTCTGGAGATGGATAGCATTTTTTCATCATGAGTCCTTTGGAATTTTCTTGGATTATTGTATTGATCAGAGTAGCTAAGTCTTTCACAGTTGATCATCATCACAATATTCTCCTGGTTCTGCTCACTTCACTTTGAATCAGTTTATATAGGTCTCCCCATGGTTTGCTGAAACCACCCCTCTCATCCTTTCTTATAGCACAATAGTACTCCATCACAATTAGATGCCACAACTTGTTCAACTATTTTCCAAATTATGGGCATTCCCTCAATTTCCAATTTTTTTGCCACCACGAAAAGAATTGCTATAAATATTTTTGTACATATAGATCCCTTTCTTTTTTCTTTGATCTCTTTGGGGTAGAGATCTAGTAGTGTTATTGCTGGATCAAAGGGTATATACAATTTTTTAACCCTTTGGGCATAGTTCCAAATTGTTCTCCAGAATGATCAGACCAGTTCACAACTCTACCAAAAGTTCATTAATGTACCTATTTTCCCTCATCCCTTCTGGCATCTGTCATTTCTAATAGGTATGAGGTGGTAACTCAGATTTGTTTTAATTGACTTTTCTCTAATCAATAATTATTTGGAACATTTTTTTCACATGACTATGGATCACTTTGATTTCTTCTTCTGAAAATTGCCTGTTCATATCACTTGAAAATTTGTCAATTAGGGAGTGGCTGTTATTTTTATAAATTTGACTCAGTTCCTTACATATTTTAAAAAAGAGGTCTTTATCAGAGAAAATTGCTGTAAATTTTTTTGATATTACTTTATTGTCTATGATACCTTTTATCAAAATGTATTTTCCCTGATTATCTCTTTTAATTAGGTCTATTTTTGCTTTTGTTTTGTCTGAGATCATGATATATCATGATTGCTACCCCTGCTTTTTTTATTTCAGCTGAAGCATGATTTTGCTCCTTCTCCTTATTTTAACTTGTGTGTATATCTTTGATTCAAGTGTGTCTCTTGTAAACAACATATTTGTTAGATTCTGGTTTCTAACTCTATCCTCTTACATTTTGTGAATAACCTCATTCCATTCATACTCACAATTATGATTACTAACTGTGTATTTCCCTTGACCACATTTTCTTCTGTTTATCATTCTCTTGCTCTTTTTATCCCATCCCTCCTCAAAAGTCTATCTTGCTTCTGACTACTGGCTCCCTTAATTTTCCCTCCCTTTTATCATTCCTCCTCCCCTTTCTTTTATTCCCTTCCCCTCCTATTTCCCTATTGGATACAATAGATTTCTATAGCCAACTGGGTTTATAGTTTTATGTGTATATATGTATATATTTTTTTCTACCCTCTTTGAACCGGTTCCAATGAGATTGAGCCTCAAGCATTGCCTGCTACTCTTCATTTCTCCTTCCACTGTAAAAGTTCTTCCTTGTGTACCTCTTTTATGTGAGATAATTTTCCCATTCTACCTCTCCCTTCTTCCTTCGCCCAGTGTGTCCCTCTTTCTTACCCCTTCATTTGTTTTTAAATCATCTGAAAATAATTGACTTACACTTGTGTCATCTGTCTATGTAGACTGCTTCTAACTGCCTTAATAATAGTAAAGTTCTTAGGAATTACATGTATCATCTTTCCATATAGGAATGTAAGCAATTGAATTTTATTGAATCTCTTATGATTTCTCTTTCATGTTTACCCCTTTATGCTTCTTTTGAGTCTTGTATTTGAATGTCAAATTTTCTATTCAGCTCTGCTCTTCTCATTAGGAATGCTTGAAGGTTCTCTATTTCATTAAATATATATTTTTTCCTCTGAAGGATAATACTCAGTTTTTTTTGGGTAGGTTATTCTTGGTTGTAAGCCCTA